CCGAGGGAAGATGTGCACGGATGGAGCGGGGTCCAGAGGACACCAGGTACGAGCCTCCCGTTGTCCTCCCCTGGTGGAGTCCTGCGGACATCATTTACCCCTCCTGCAGGAATGTGTGACAACAGGCAGGGTGTGTCGGCAGCCGGGAAAGCTCACCTGAGCCTCGGGGTCAGGTACTGGCCGGGGTGGGTCACAGCCGACTGTTGTCTCCAGTCCCTCCGTAGGCTGAGCTGACACTGCGTGGCCCGAGGCCCCAGGTTAACAAGGACACTCGTGTCACGCAGGACTTGCCAAGGGCTCAGCGCTGACCTTCCAGAAGGAGGACAGGTGTTTGGGCGAGGTTCATCCCCAGGTACACTTCTAGTCAGAGGTTCACTATTTGAAAAAAACAAGACACCAGTGATAAAGACCCCTCGGAAAAGTGGTGGAAGCGATTCTAGGGCCGGAGGAGAAAGCCGACAACAGAGACCATTGCAGACTTTTCTGAGAGTGTGTTTGTGTCTTAAATTAGTCAGGGAATAGTGGAGATCGACTGCAACAAATCTTTTCAGTAAATGCCAAGAGGTGACAACTTGGGCTTTCTAGCGCTGTTGGTCTGGACGAGGGGTCAGCAGGCTTTTCCCGGAAAGGGCCAGAAACCATGAGGTTTCTGTTGCAGCTTCTCAAATCCACTGTGTGGAGCAGAAGCAGCCACTGACACATGTAAACAGACAGAGGTGGCTGCTTCCAATAAAGCCACTTATGGGCATTGTCATTTAAATTCCTGTAATTGTCATAGATCGGACATATTACGGCCTTTTGGTTTCTGGAACAAGTGAAACCTGGGACTTTGGGAGTGGTGACACTACTCGGTGTGACACTGTGACGGTGGGTACACGTCATCGTACGTTTGCCAAACCCCACAGAAAGTGCTACACGCACGGTAAACCGTAACGTCAACTACGGACTTTGGCTGATAATAGTCTATCAACACTAGTTCACTAGTTTTAGAAAATGTGCCACCTAATGTCCGATGTAATAGGGGAAGCATGTGCCAGGCCCCATGGGTAGCAGGGACAGGTATATGGAACTCTATGTACAACCTACTCAATTATTCTTTAAATCTAAAACTATTAAAAATGTAAGGCCTAAAAACAATGAAAAAACATTCTTAGTTCACAGGTCATATGAAATCAGGCAGTGGATTGGGTTTGGCCCATTGCAGACCCTCAGAGGAGCTGGGAGAGCAGCTGACACACGCATGCGGTCCCTTGAGTGGGTCAGACACAGTGTCGCCGGACAGTCCCACGGGCAGTGGGGCCCAGAGAAGGATTCCGAACGGGAAACTCGGGTGGAAACTTTAAGACTCTCAGAATTCTCCCTTCTCGATGCTATTTGCTCAGGATCTCATTTAGAAACAGGAACAGGCCCCAACAGCAACCTGAGAACCCACACGGCCTACAGGAATGATTTTGGCTTCCACCGGCCTGGGACAAGCCAGTCCTCGCACGCGCTCTTGGTTTGGAGAGCTGTGTTCCTTGCAGCAGAAACTTTGAAGGCTGGGTCTGCAGGGAGACGGGAATTTTGCAGATATTGTGCTGCCCTTAATAAGCTGCTTGCCCTCCTTGCTTCTTGAAGATGGAGCAGTCGATAAAGCATCTCTCTGAACGGTGTAATAGGCACAATTCATTTGGCAAACATGTATTGAGCGCCCACTGTGTGCTCACGGCTCTCTCCACTCCAAGACTTCGTGGCAATTACGGGGTGATGTCAGAAACCTGCAAGTAAGAGAAGGAACAAGTGGTGTCATATTGATCTCGCGGAATGTTTGCTAATAGATTTTTAATGCAACCCAGTGCTCTGCCTGTGTGGTCGCCGAGCGCCTGGTTAGCAGCGGTCTGCGACTGTTTCAGCCGTGCCTCACTGCATGCGCCAAATTATAGCACGTTACTCAGCAGCCACGTGACCAGACACTCATTTACTGCTTCCAATATCTTCACTATGCCGGCCCAGGGCTCAGCTAGTTCTACAAAGAAAAGCAGCGAGCCGGTGGCCCGCAGGAAGGTCGAGAATGCAGACTCCTTTGGGCCCCACCTGGAGACGGTCGCAGAAACCAAGTCACAAGTCACACCCTGCAGCATCGGTGTCTGTGTCCGCACTTCTCCCTCTGCTCGGGATTCAGAGAGGTTCAAGACCCAACTACAATCTCTACGTAGAGCGTTTGCTCTGATCGCCTGGCCAATAGCTCATTGTACCTAGATTTAAATGCCACGTGGGGATTTTCCGTTTCTCTCCATCTCCGAAGCAGTGAGAATTGTGTTGCGTTCCACAGAGGCCCCTCCCCAGGGTCAGCCTTCCACCTGGCAGCCTAAAAGAAGCACCGAGGCAGCTTTACAAACGGTGAGGGGCACGGAGTGCGAGGCCGCGGGGCTCCCCGACGCCTCCCTAGCCCTGCGACCTTGGCTGTGAAGTGGCCTAACATCTCTGTGCCCTCCTCTCCCCACTGCCAGGTGGGGATCGCGAGCACGCCCCGTTGTAAAGTGCTCAGGGTGGTGCCTGACACGGAGCATGCAGTGGATGAGTGGGGTCGCGAAGAGCCCAGAATGACGACGTCTGTCCATCCCGGCACTGTGGAGAAAGGCAGAGGCGAGGAGATGAGAAGCACCTGCTGGGGGTCGAGTGCGGCGTGGGGCTCGGAGCAGAACACTCACACCAGGTCTCCCTGTCACATTTGCAACGACTGCACTCGCCAGACCCGTGCTGCCCTCTGCTTGCCGATGCGCCCGTCCACGCTGCCCTCAGTGAGACATCTGCTGCCATCTGGAATATGAGAAAATCCCAACAAAGGGGCTGCATTTGCCTCCTGACGCTCCAAGGACACTGACTAAGAACTGAACCGCTGGCTGCAGCAGCTGACTGGAGCACCTGGGCGGGTGGGAAGGTTTTTCCTGTGCTGGGTCCAGAGCCCAGCTGGCAGCCCCTTCCCCGGCTGCCCGCTCCTTCCTTCCAGCCTTGCAGCACCGGCGGTCCATGCACGCGGCAGGGACGGGGCTCTCGGCCCCTCTCAGGCCTCATTCTGGCTCCAGGGCCACCCGCAGCCTCCACCTGTGGTGGTTCCTCTCTCCCACGAAAGCGAGAGCTCCCAACCCAGCCTGTGGTTCGGGCTGAGCCGGGCTGGCCTCCCGCCCCGCTGTCCCTCTAGCCTTCTCCCCCTTCCCCAGCACTTGGCTTCCGCACCCTTCGGAGATGCGGAACGGGGCTCTGTGGTCCCATGCCCCCTGCCCAAGGCACTTGTGACACCCGGTGTGGCAGGCAGGGGTTCTGCTTGGCTGGGGAGTGGGAACTCGGGTCAGGTCGCCAGGCGACTTGTGAAGTGTCCTGCCACAGCGCACAGGTGCTCGCCGCCGAGGGGCCGTGGGGGCCCCTCCTATCTGGTGATCAGAACCAACTCCACCAGCATATCGTCACCCAAGCCGGGGCCTAAATGGGGACCGGCTCAGAGCCCCACTTCTGGGCCGCAGGGCAGCGTCTGCTGTGGTCTCTGGGAAGTGAGTGCACCAGGACGTCGGGCCTTCTCGTCTCTCATCTTCCTCCCCCGCGATCACGGCTTAATCTGCCGCCGCGGCAGGTTGCAAACAAAAAGTGCGGGGTTTGTTCCTACCTTTGAAAACATCACGGAGAGTCAAAAGACACGTTTCCCGGCTGAACTATCGCTCACCGAGAGCCACCGGCAACGGGAAACACATCAAGGCCATCAGCTGTGGCGTGTGAAAAGCAAATTTGATCCCTGGCAGAGGCAGAGTGCCGGCAAGTCCCCAACATCGAAAACAAGCGCCTTTTAACTAAAGGTCTAGGGGAGGTCGGGCATAGCGAGTCTTGCAGGAGGGATATCTTCAGGGGAAAAACAGAACAGTGATTTGAGCTCTGACGTGAAATCTGGTGCTCGGCAGACCAGCTGGCCACCGTGCTGGAGCCACGGGTTCCTCCTCCTCCCGCGGGCAGTGGGCGCCCAGGTCAGGCACCCGCGCTGAGCCGCGACGAGGGCTCGCTGAGGTCTGTGACGGGGAACCGAGAAAAGAAAGTGGGGACTGATGATCAGCCTGCGGGGGACCCAGTCAAATCCGCTCCTGCTGCGCTGCAGGTACCAGGAAACGAAGCTGGCCAGTTCTGTGCCGTCCCCCAGTGGCGCCAAGTTAAACCTTGCCGTCTGCTCCTGGCACCATTTATAACGTGAGGGTTCGCATTGTTAAGTCAGTCTCGAGGGAAGAAGAAGAAATGCTGCAAAATAAGAAGAGTAACGAGAGGGAGGAGATAAAATAGCAACAGACCAGGGAACAACTCCCAGTCCTTCCTGCCAGGACCCTGCGTGCTCGTGGACAGCGGGCTCCCCTGAGTACGGCCAGCTGTGGACAGAGCCCAGGTGATCCTGCGTGAGCACAGTCACACTGCGTGGTGTGCCTCTGCCACAAAGGAACAGGCCCTCCGAGAGGCTCGTTCTTGGGACATTGGCCGTAAATCCACCTTCTTCCTTTGAACCCAAGAACCAGATGCAGGGGATGGGCCCTGACTCCCCTTTTGCTTGTATCCTTGAAAATGACATTTGCAATTTTGCTACTTAATTACTGATGCCGACTTTTTACTATAGGCCTCAGGAGGCACATGACAAACCCACAGGTGAAAGCTTGTGCTCCAAGAAAAGACGCATCTCTACGATACCTCATTTTTCTATAGACTCAGAAGTATTTCAGACTGTTGAGCTTCACTGCTAGAAGCGTGGTCCCAGGGCCAGCAGTGCCCACATCCCGAGGGAGCTCCATAGGAATGCAGATTCTCGGGCTGTCCCCGGTCTGCTAAGTATCATCTGTGTTTCATTAAGGTCCCTGAGTGGTTTGTGAGCTCCTTCAAGTTCGAGAAGCTCTGCTACAGTGCGAGTTGACAGTAGCCATATGCGCCTCACGTGGCATCCGGTCCACACAATGTCACTCCTAATCAAATAACCGCTGCAGGAGCAAGACACCCAGCTGGGTGCCCCGCGAGCCACTGAGTCAGAAGCCCACAGAGGCCAGCGGGTTATCGAGGCGAAAAGGTAAGGCGTTACCTCCACCGCTCATTTGGGGGCTCACGTTAGAATGTGTTTATTTTCCACTCCAATCACTAAAATGCCTCACAAAGAGCCCCTCCAAGAAAGTGTCGTTTCCTCAGGGAGGATGTCGGGAAGATTTGGGAGCACGTGGACGACTGCAGCTTTCTCCTGCCGCTGCCCCTCCCATGCCCCGCCCCTTCGCCTTCCAGTAAGTAGCGTCTTATTTAACATTCCATAATTGCAGAAAGCACTTCCACTTTATTTATCGAATGTCTCTCTTTCCATTCCATCTGCCTGATGAAAACCATGGAGGTGCTGCGATCCCCAGAAGCGGAGGAAATGAATTTCGGGCGATGTGTTTTTACCTGACATACATACAGTACGTTGTTTCATTTTACTGTCAAGACAGACACCTGGTTAGCCGGCCGTTTAGAATTACCAGTAACTTTGATTCTTTCCATTTGACAGCTCAGGGTGCGGAGCAACATGGCGAGGGTGTGCGCATTAGCATTTTAAAACCAAATGCTACGCAGGAGTGCAGTGCAGCCATTTGCTTTGTGCTAATGTTTATGCTACCTGCAGGCAAAAAGCAGAGATATTTTTGAAAAAGAAAACACACTTTCATTCTTTATTGAAACATGTAATCGAGTTCTTTATACATCAGAGAAGCCTATTCATTTGTACTGAATGGCCATTGAGATATTCTGTGTATTGGAAATGTACAGCCTTCACGCAGACGCAGAATGGACTCTTGTAATGCCCAGGAAAAAAAAAAATAATGCTTTCTGGAACAACAGTTTTAACCAATTATTTTAGACAAATATTTGGACATTTTTCAGAAAAGATGATGGACAAAAAGTCAAAAGGATTCTGTCTACTTTGGATTGACGTGGCTGTTTGAGATTTGTGGTTCTGACAGCGAGCGAGGGAGGCCCCGCCTCTGTCAATTATCTGTTAAAAATATGACACAAACGCATGCTTTGAAGTAGAAAAGCATATTCAATGTGAATTGCCTTTAACATTCCAAGATGATGGTTCATGATTTATTTTCAAAATAGTGTATCTGTGAAAAATTAAGAGCCACAAGGATCCAATTATCTCAATGGCAGCCTAATTTATGTGGCATGAAGCACTTTAAAAAAAATCGGGAGGTGTGTTTAGTTAGGCTGGATTGGTATCGTCTTGCTGGGTCACAGCTTGAAGTCTATCTGAACGACGCGGATCTCATTAAACGCATCAACTTAAAATCGCTTAGGTGATAAGAAAGATGAAGACATAGTTTGGGGCCCAATAGAAGTTTTTCTTTTGTTCATAAATATATGTCCCCCAGGAGCATCTCTGACGTCTTCATGCAGACGGCACCTTGGAAGACAAGCTGCGAGGCCAGGCAGGGTGGGCTTGTCCTTCAGCCTGGACACCAGGGGCCCCCACAACCTGACTGTTAAAAGGAGGTTCAGACCATCAACTCCCTCTTTCCCAAGGCTGCAGTCTTGCCTGCGTGCTGCTATTGATTTGGGGAAGGAGCTCTGAAATTGATCAATATCTGCTGGCAGCTGAATTCTTCAGATATTTCTTAAAGAACCGGATCGTCATGTTTCTGTGGGCAGAGAGGGTGGCTGGCGCTCCGGGTTACATGATTAAATAGCATCTAGTTTAGCTGTTGTTGATAAGTGATGGGTCAACGCAGGAGCGGTGTTTACTGTGATTAAACAGGAGCCACCTGCAATGACCTGCTCCTCTGGCACCTGTATCAGTGTAGAAAATTTGTCACTTGCTAGTTTAGAAGCAGTTTTTCCCTCCTAATGAGCTCTGCAGACAGACCGGGGCTCAAACAGACCTGCAACGACAACCAAAAATATCAAACAGCTGAAGGGGGCGGAAGACCCTCAGAACACTGCTGTGCTCCCCAAGTGCCCGGTCCACACTCAGGAGGGGCGCAGGAAACAAAGTCGTACACCCAGCAGGCAACTGTGTGCTGCAGCTTTTCACAGCGTCCTGGAGATACCTAAAGACCTTCTTTTTCTGTAACGTAATGCCTGGGTGTACGTATGTCTATAGATTGACCCAACCAGCTCCAGCACTTAGCGGCACAAGGAACTCTGCATTCAGAGTGGGCATGCGAATTTATTCCACTAGCAAGAAAGCATTCCAAAACAACCCCATTTTTCACCACTCCGTGTTCTATGGAACATATTTCGGGAAGAACTGATGAAATATTCTATACTTGGCCATCACCCAGCTTCTAGAATTGTCGACCCATTCTGGAGTGTCTTAGAGGCTGAGGGTACGCTGCAGATCACACAATCATCGCTGCAGGGAGGCGAGGTACCAAAATCGGAGACAGCCAAGTTCAGTCCGCTGATAGTCAAGTTAAGGCAAAAAACTTAAGACTCCAGAGAGCCAAGATGAGATACCCAGAAATCCTCAGATGTAACCACAACACTTAGATTTTATGTATAGTTTTTTCATTATTTTTTAGGACTTCTGGATTCTCCAAAACATGGCCTAATGAAGAGAGGAGGCACTGTGTTTGAACCTCTGCCGGGCACCCAGAGGTAAGTCCCAGTGTGCAGAGTCTGTTTTTACTTATCTGGAAAAGGGAAAATGATAATGTCTAGCTTACGGGACCCTTGTGTAGAGTAATGGAATCTAAAATGTGGTATACAGTTAGTAGTTTGTCCATAAGCAGTGTCTGAAATTGTGGATTCACCTGATGGAAGGAAGTGTGTTTGCCACGTGGCTGTACCATGTTCAATGACCACATGGCTGTTTGCACGCGTATGTCCATGTGTATGTGTGTCTGTCTGAGCACCCTCAGAACCTGGGCGCTAAAGGAAGCTTCTGTCAAACTCATAGGAAACTTACCTCTTCTTACCTGATGCTGACTTCCTGAGGCCCGTGCAGTCTGCTCGTACAATTCTTGGGCCCATTCACCCTGAGCCCACTTTGAATCACACGTGCTTGAGCAGCCCCTGCGGAGACGGGGTGGTTGTCATTCCTGCAGCTCACAGATGCATCCAGCTCGTCCGTGTAAGTGTAGCCCAGCCTTTGAAGAAGGCAGACTCTTCCCGGCAAGTTCAGAGCAGAGTCAGAGCTTGCCGATTTACAAAGGGCTCTCACATGCACTCCTCAGCTCAGTGGCTTCCTGCCTGGACTCAGTGACAAAGAACCGTGTCCTTCAGCTCCAAGCTCACCTTCGTGACCCATGCGGAGTCTTCCCTTCATTTATGCCAAGGACCGAAAGTCACGTGGGTTAGATTTTACCCTCCCACTGGGCCAGTGTCAAAGAACTAAGCAACGCCGTGAGTGGAGGACAGGTAGAATTCCCGGTAAAGCTAGACGAGGAAAGCAGGGTCTCAGGGCACTGACAAGACCGCGAGGACTTGCTCCTTCCCTGCGGCCGGCTGTGCGCCAGGCTCGCCCTCTGGCGTGTTGGAGGACCTGTGAAGTATTCGTGTGCGGTGCACAGCGGGACTGTCATCACCAGGAGTGTTAAATTACAGGACTATCAGGGCAGCAGGAGAAAAAGAACAACCACAGCATACCATGCTTTCACCTTTAAAATAACATTTGAAAACATGTGCATTTAGATGGACTGAATAATTCCATTTTCTGTGCAAGGTTTCTCGACCTCGTCACTGTTAACATTTTTTGGGGGGCCAGATAATTCTCTTGTGGGGGGCTGCCCAATTATTGTAGGATGGCTAGCAGCATCCCTGATCTCTACCCACCAGATGCCAGTAGCACCCCCTCCCCAAGAAAAGAGGAGAACTGGTGATACCGAAACCCATGTGTCCTTGTCATCAAGAACTGAGTGATGTCCATTTGTGTTTTCATGTGATTAGAATTCCCTGAGGTCCCAACTCTCGCTGGGCTCTTGGCCTGGGGGGTGTGTGTATGTGTGTGTGTGTGCGCGCGCGCGTGTGTGTGTGTGCACGTGTGTGTGTGTGCGCGTGTGTGTGTGTGCGCACATGTGTGTCTTTCTCCCAGGTCTCTGCTCTCTCAGAGCTACCTTGTTGTCATCTGTCAAGTCTCAGCAGAAATGTCACCTACTTGGACAGTTGTCCTTGTCCAGTGTCTATGGAATCACCAGCCCTGCCCCCCCTCTGTGCTGAGGAGCAGTGAGAGTCTCCGCGTCTCGTTTGCTTTCTTCACAGCACTTACCACAATCTGTAATTTCTCTGTTAGATTCTTCCTGGCCTGCCCCAGAGGAACACACACGTCCCATCAACTGGAGGAGTCAGAGTCTCGTCAGTGAGCTCCCCGTCGAATCCTCAGCGATGGCGAACGTATCGACCGCTCGGCACCACTGACAGGTCCATGTCACTGGGTCACTGGAGGTTGAGAAGCGAGGGGAGGGAAACCGGGGCTGTACATTCCTCACGGGTTTGGTTATGTTCTCACAGGGCTGGGCAGGTAGGGAAGCCAGAAAAGAAGAGAGAAATGACGAGGGAAAATAAATTGAATTTTTTGAGCACTGGGCAGGTGCCACACCTGGTTTAGTAGTGCTGTGGTCTAGAAGGCAGGCATCAGGATTTGCAACTCCGAGTGGAGGGATCTCAGGCTCAAAGGCGTTAAGCAGTTCCAAGCGAGCAAGTCAGGGTTCCAGCACCGCACTTTGTGCAAGCTGACGGCTAGCGTGGGCCCTGCGTCCCGCAGAAGGAGGCGGGGAGGCTCCCAGGCCTGGGGTGAGAGATGAAGCAGCACGTGGCTCCCTGTAAGGAAACCTCACCTTCCTCCTGTCGGCTCCCCGGTGCTATGAGGGTCCCCTGAGCCTGGACCCCTGGCTGCAGCGTCCCTCACCGACCGACGAGGACGAGGACTGGACCGTGCCGGATCCCTTGGCCCCTCCCCAGCCTGAGGCCCAGATCGTCTCCCTGGATGACTGAGCGGGTCTGTGGTTGGGACCCGCCCTTCTGGACACGCAGGCCGCCAGCGTGGCAGGTTGTTTTTTAAGACCATTGTGAGTTACAAAAAGGACTTTGCCATCCTTGGACACAGCATTCCTTAATGAAAAAGAGTTCGGCCTCTGCCCTACTCGTTCCTTGTTACTGCAATTATAAACTCTGTGCCTTCGGGGAGAGCTTTCGGGAGGCAAGGAGGCAGAAAAATCTATTTTCCTGGAAGTTTTTCCTTTTAGATTAGGCTGTTGTTTTTTGTGGCCCTGATGGCAACCGAATCACCTTTCCTGAGGAGGTGTGTGTTTGAGTTGCTGCAGCCACGTCTCTGCAGAAGGCACTTTCTGGGCTGTCCTTCTCAGTGGCAGCGCAGGGTCCTGTGTCTTGGCTGGCTTTCAGGTACATAGTGACCCATGTGGACTGAGCATGCTCTGAGCGCTGTCCTCCGTAAATAGACACTGCTGTTCTTAGTTACACAGTAACCAGTGTGTTTGAGCATGTGCTAAGCACCCTGTGTGTGCCCTGCCTCATGCAGGCGGCACAGTAACCCTCTAGGACTGCGGCCCCCAACCCCTGGGTCGTGGCCCATTACCGGTCCGTGGCCTGCGCAACACCGGGTGGTGCAGCACCCCCTGAGCTCCGTCACACCCCCCTACCACGACACCCCCTCCATCCCCAGTCCCTGGAAAACTTGTCTTCCATCAAACCAGTGCCTGGTGCCAAAAAGGTTGGGGACTGCTGTTCCAGGAGATAGATACTGTGATTGTCCCCACTGTACTAAGGACGTTGAATGACTAACCCATAGGCAGACAGCTAGTAGATGCTGGAGCCGGGTTTGAACTAGAGGTATGCTGGTAAACCAACTCTCTGCGATGAAGAAAAGGGGTGAAATTTTTAGGATTTGTCAATTTCCATGTTGTAAATAACCTGCCAAGGCTGATTTAAAGCTACCAGCGGTGTAACAGCTGACTTGCTAAATTCCTGGATATTCAACAGCAAGCTCTTGCCAGCCAGAGGGAGCTGGCTCAGGCCACCCTCGTTGGATCTCAAACTCTTGGCCACCGGGTTCCACAAATGCTTAGAGAGGGGCTTTAGGAGAATCCAAAACAGCACAGATTTTAATATTCCTACACGCAGGGTTTGGGGATGGGGAGGTATACCTTTGGCTGTTACTAGAAATACTGTACATTTTGGGAAATCCTCTGAAACTCATGAAAGACAGCTAACTCTAATTTTAAATCTTTAAGGAGTGAGTGGGAAGAAATTTCTAGAATTAGCCTATCACAAAAAAGTTGTACAACTTTGCAAAGTTAGGAGATCTCTGACTTAAATTATTTCCAGGTTAGCAGATGTTCTTCTATTTTTTTCTTCTCTTCCTATCGTCTTTAATTTGGACCGTAGCTACACTACAGCAGTCTGTCTTCTTGGCACTGTGACGTCAGGGGAGTATCCATTTTGGAGTAACTGGCTTAGTGACAAATCCCTTCTCTGAGAACTGCCCCAGCCACAATCCTGCCAAAGGAGCAGGTCTCACTAACCTGCTATGTCTGGAATAGATTCCTCCAAGGAGCAAGGACCACCACGGTCCTGCCAAAGGACCAGCCACACTATCCACACCTGGTCTAGACCTGGGGGTACTGACTGGCACCACCCAGCTTTTTTGCAGGACTGACACCCAGAGACATATGCACACAGCATTACATGGTGGTGGACATTGGGCTTCCATTCATGTGATGACCTCATGTGTGCTTGTGTTTGAGCAGAGGAAGCCCATCAAAAAATAAAGGAGACAGAGCAAAGCCCAAAGATGCAGATATCCCAGCCCTTGACCAACAGAAAGAGAGTCTTTGGTTCCTAGTAGGACTCCAGCTGCCCTCTGGCCATCCACCCCGATATCGGGGTGGTCTGCCACGTGTTCACCCACGTGAGGGCATTTGAAATTGACCACAAGTCTATATACGTTTTCTAATCAATCAAGTGGTCTCTAAGGCCATACCATATCCTAGCCCAAAACTCTACCAGAAATTTAAAATTGATTTCAAATTATGTCCAGCCAAGTTCTCCAGCATAGCTTATTAGAGGTTATATGATAAGCCCAAATAATGCAATGAAGAAGTTCCAAACAACACGATCAGATTCCCATGGAGAAATTTTAGCCCAAAAGTGAAATTTCTTCTCTCTGTCAAATAAATGTTCCAACGTTTTAATATTTTTCCTTTGCCAGGTTGGCATATACTAGAAATCTCTGCATGACGCAATCCACTCAGAGGAGGGATCTCACTGGCACAATCGATCCTACACACTAGCAGGTTGAGCCCAGGTCTGCGGTCTTTGGCGCCAGCAAAAGGAGCACGTTGGGGAGAGAAGCAGTGTTGCAAGTGTGAAGACTGGCACACGAGGCCAGGGGTCCCACCGAGGGAAGAGACAAGTAAATGGTGCAGTACTGAATGGTCCCAACTTGGATTACGGTGATAGTTGCACAGCTCTGTGAATTTACTCAATCCCGCTTAATTGTCCACTTTAAATGGGTGAATTCTGTAGCATATAAATTATTTCATAATAAATAAAATAATAAATAAGTAAATAAAATAAAAATAACTTTTAAAAAATGCATTACTGAGCAGGCCACCTTTTCTGTTTCTATAATAGGTTGTGTGTTGGTTAATTTCCTCAGATGAAAACTAAGGGGCAGTTACCATAAAAAACACAGGCAGCAAAGCAAACTGCATAGCTAAAAAGAAGAGCTATGACAGGTCATCTGAACTGTCACTCCTTGCCTATACTGACCGATGGTCCCACAAGAATGATCTACACGTGCATCAGACGTGGACTGAAGTCACAGCCTGGAGCTGAACCCAGCCTGGATCAGCTAAACTGCAACTGACCTACAGACACACGAGCGAGAGATCAAGGCTTGCGGTTTAGTTACGGGCTGGTTTGTTACGCAGCATCAGTGTGGTAATCACTGACCGATACACTCCCTTTGCAGAGCAAGGAGGCTTGTCTTTAAGATTGCCTTTTGTATCCATGCAACGGGCTGCGGAGCTCACTGGAGCAGACTTCTGCTCTTTGCTGCCAGATCTAAACTGTCATCAACAGGGTGGTAAGTGTTCACCTGCCACATCCATCAGGAAGCGTAGCGGTGGCCTGCGTGGACGGTCCACCCTCCTCAGTCAGGCAGACTCCACCTTCACCAAGGACACCATATGGCATTTACAGTGAATAGGACGCAGAGATCCTTGACCCACGGGGAAATGGAATAGTCCTCCCATAGAACATACTTGGTAATTTATTATGAGACTTTAGCTGTGCCCAGTGTTGTGTCCCCGGAGCACACTGATGACTTCGATGTGCATGATTAAAATATGGATAAGGGATCACAGAGAAATGTCAGGGGTCTCTGTGGGTGTGCGTTCTCATACATTCTTGGATGCCGTGCAGGGGAGAAGCCTCAGAGTAGAGCTATTTTTCTCTAATGGTTAATTTTTTTTTGAAAGAGAGAATTTAGATCTACATAAAAGTTACAAAAAGAAAATAGAGTATCCAAATGCCCTTCACCCAGGTTCCCTTTATGTTACCATCTTATTAATAAATAGTCATCGAAGATTTGTCAAACCTAAGAAATTATTTTTGCCATGAGACTAATAACTAGAATATGGAACTTATTTGAATTCTCCCAATTTTCCCACTAATATTCTTTTTCTGATCCAGGATCCATTCCAGGACTCCACATTGTACCTGGTCGTCTTGTCCCTGTGAGCCGTCTCTTACCTGGCCTGAGGTGTGCAGCTGTTCCCAGCACACGGCAGGGCTCCCTGCCCAGAGCATCCCTCCCGTCCTGGTCTGTGGCCGGCCTCCCCCTGCCCCTGCGGGAGGAGGCGTGTCTAGGTGGGGCACCGGCAGGTAAGAAGAGCATGATCATGGGGCTCTTTCTACAGACCCGTAGCAGAGTTACAAGCCCCCCCGCCCCCAATTCCTTACGCGTGTCACAAACCCGTGCCTTGGTTTCCTCGGCTAATCTGCCGTGACAATTACAGTTGCTTGGTCGGATTCTTTCTTTTTCTCTTTTTCCAACTGAACATAAGTTAAGGTCTCCAAACAGAGAAATTGATCCAAGATTTCATTTTCCTCCTCTGCTGCCTCGGTTTTATGAAGCCCCAAGTGGTTACTGCAGAAACTTCTGACAGGCCCAGCAGTCTGGCAAATTAAATCTCCCAGCCCCAGCAAATCCTGACCTGGAATTCCCGCACAGTCCCTGCCTGCTTGGCGGGTTTGTCTGTCTCTTCCATGAACGAGGATCCGTTTACCTCCCTGTGGGTGCAGCTTAAATAATAAAAGGCGGAAAACAAAACAAGCTTATCTTACACGCAACCTACTGCTACTATTGCTTTTTCGTTACAGAGGAGAGAAACGGGACCACTAAGAAAAAAGGGATTGTGGAGGAAGAAAATAATAATTAAAAACAAAAAAAGATGGAGCGGGTGACGGGAGGCTCCTGACCTGCCAGCAGCCCGAGCAGGGTTGCGGGGAGGAAGCTGCAGCGGACTCCTCTCAGTCCTGCTGGGGTGGGAGAAAACCGAGGATGTTACATTATGAATGGGCGAACCCGCCTGAATAAAATATGTGTCTCCCGTGACCTGGCCCAGACTCCAGCCTACCCAGAACCGTCCGGCAGCCAAGCCGATTTCCCTTCAGGCTGCGGAGCACATTTCTTTTTCATTTGCATGCGCATTGGCCATTCTCCTTGGGCGGAGAAACAGACGGCGGCCTGGAAACGCAGTGCCTGCGCCGGCCTTCTCGGAGTCCTCGCCGGCGCTCTCTCCTGCACCATATTCCAGCCACTTCGGCCTGGCTGAGGCCTCTGGCTGGGGTTGCTACAAGCAGGTGAGAGCAGCCCTGGCCAGATGAAGCCCACAGGTCTGATTTTTCTGGCCCACGTTATGCCAGACCAGTACTTGCTTTTAACTTCTTATTAACATTTTTAATAATAAGGTATTTTACATAAAAATCGACATTTCCAGGTTTTCTGGGGAAACGGTAAGATCCAGCATCGCTGGGCTCCTGTGTCCACGTGGAAGCACAGGGGCGTCCCCTTCGCAGAGTGGCTTCCTCCCTCGACCCTCCGAGCCCCTCGCCAGTCCCTACTCATCAGCTCACAGGTGTCTGTCTTGGTCCTGCTCTTCACGCCGGTTCCTGGAGTCTCCTGCTGGTGACCCTCCCCCAGAGGAGAGGGCTGGCGTGTCAAGGAGGGAGCAGCACAGAGCCGTCCGGGGGAGAGGAACGTTCTCCACCCTGGAGACTGAGGCTGCTCTGCAGGGGCAGCTGCCAGCCGGCCACACGTGCCTTGCTGCCGCCAATCATGATCTGGGGGAGATTTATGAGAGGAGGAGGAATTAGAGCAGATCCAAGCTTCTGTCTGCAGAAGCATCACTCTGAAGTGCAAGGCCCTGTCGGAGGATGCCGAGCACACAAACTCAGAGCTGGACGGCTGCCGCTCCATGACACTGGGAAAGCCACGCTTTGTGTGCCTCGGGCTCCCCATCCGTAAAACAGGGACGGCAACGGAACCTGTTCCAAAAGTCTTCCAAATGCCAGCAGAACGGTGCCTAGAGCAGCCAGTTAGCATAAGCTGCTGTGATTTTCTGACCCGTGCTTCCGAAATGCTCATGTGAACAGGAAGAAAGGGATCAAATGACAGCAAGCGCGAGGGTCACTCCTCCTCATCTGAGCACGCGGGGGCGGAGGGGCAGCCATGCTTTGTTCCCGAGTGTCTCAGCAGAGAAGAGGTTGGGGAAGCTGGGGCAGAGGACAGGACGCCCCCCCGGCCTGCACACCCGCGTGGCCCACCGCCCAGCTGCTGCGCGTGGGGCAGCCGGAGGCGACAGTGCAGGACCCAGGGCAGGCCCTTCACTCTGCTCCATCACAGGCCTGCAAACCCCACTCCTGCTCAACATGTAGACTCAGGCTGCACGTCCCCCCAGACGTGTTTATCCACCAGTGCTGACCTTCGCATCCTTCCACCGCCCAGCAAGGCACGCAGCACGCGGTTGTGACGTGTAGAAAGGTCTGTCTTCCCTGCTGCTGTGTCCCAAGGGGCCCAGGCAGCCTCTCCGTGTCCATCCCCAGCGCTGAGCCCCGTGCCTGACATGTCACTCAGCAAGTGTCTGTCAAATGAGCAAGCTGGAGACCCTGCCAGAGATAGGCGGGACCCTTCTGCAGACCCCGCCCAGGGCACTGGAAGGGAAAACCTTTATACAAGCAAAGTCCCTGAACAAACAAAGCCTTAGCGGGGACCTCAGCCCTGCTGGGCAGTCTTCGTGTCTGTTAAGTCACAGCCAGGCATGTGTCACACATGTCACAAGGTTGGTGTCACACGGAAGACCACAAATGTGCCCTGCCCCCGCCGAGGCTGACTTTGTAAACACTGGGGGGGCCGAGTCTGCAGCTGTGCACTGTCGTGGATGTGGCTTGTATGATCTGCTCCGATGTCCTCAAATTTCTTCTCCCTCCTCCTGCGAGCAAACCCGAGCCCTGCCAGCACGTTAACATCTCGGTTTTAGAGGTACAGGAACAAATACCCAAGGCCCCTTTTTTCCAAAATTAAGACTAAGTCTAATTCTACAAACCTAGACCCTAATAATGGAAAAGCCATTCATAATTTTTAGAGAATTAACAGATGAAGCAATGGTTAGAAAAGGGTCTACAGTCCACCCCATCCCAGCTAAAGGAGTGACGGGGGAACAGCCTTTCTGAATAACCATTTGAGAGGCAATCTGTTTATTTTTACTGATAGCAGAAAACAACATAACTTCAGAATCCTTGGACTTGACAGACGGCCAGCAATAGTTGGAAGAAAGTTAAATATTTTTATTTGACCAAATGCAGAGGAACTTGATGATGGAAAAACTGTCCCTTAGATGTCAGATGATGCTAAATCTACAGAGAAAAAACAAAATCCATGAATTTAAAAGAATATGGAGCCGGGTGCGGTGGCTCACGCCTGTAATCCTAGCACTCTGGGAGGCCGAGGCAGGCGGATTGTTTGAGCTCAGGAGTTCGAAACCAGCCTGAGCAAGAGCGAGACCCCGTCTCTACTAAAAATAGAAAGAAATTAATCGGACAACTAAAAATACATAGAAAAAATTAGCTGGGCATGGTGGCGCATACCTGTAGTCCCAGCTACTCGGGAGACTGAGGCAGAAGGATCGCTTGAGCCCAGGAGTTTGAGGTTGCTGTGAGCTAAGATGACACCACGGCACTCTAGCCCGGGCAACATAGTGAGACTCTGTCTCAAAAAAAAAAAAAAAGAATATGGAAAGGAGATTCCTCTTCCTTCCCCAGAGAAAATGAAGGCAGGATTTGTACCCTTGGGTTTAGATTAAATCAAACCAGGGCCCAAACCCCCTCCCTGCGACCCTGGCCGGACCCTGCAGTTGGAGCTCACAGGGGAGGTCTGGGACAGCCTCCAGACTGGCCAGCTCAGCCGGGCCACGGGCTCGGT